ACAGGATTGGTTAGTGACTGGTTTTGAGCTGTGGGAAAAGTACAAGCAACCACGTGATTTTCTGGTCTTGGAAGCAAATGGGGATTGGACGGCACCGACCAACAAGGGTGTTGACAGTTCTGGTGTGGCTCTTTACATGAAGTCAGTCCTTAGCAGATTGGGAACACCCAAGCGGATCAGTGGGAGTTACAGGCTCAACGAGCATCGAGGTCTGCTTCCTGATGGAGCCTACAGGATGTACACTGGACATTCACCTAGAAACTTTCTGGCTTCCGTGGCGGCAGCTATAGGTGTGCGAAAGGAAGACATCGACTACCTTGGGCGTTGGCTCATAAGCAGGCTCTCTGGCGCTGGCGACTACATTCGAACATCAAGGGAAGTGGTACACCGTGTGCAAGAGACTGTGTGTCGAGCTTTGCTAGAGGGTGTTGGCGGGCAATACCACGAGGACGAGGCCCTGTCGATGCTCAAGAGCTATGTGGACGGCTTGGGCACGTCTGGCAGCTTGGCTCGCAGGCAGCACGACATCTTGCGTCGCGGCGATGGCCAGCGTCACTTGGGGTTGACGTGGCCCGCCTTTACACCTGCATTGGAGGATCCGGACAGTTCAGCAGAAGATCTGGAGGAAGCTCCGGTGTTTTCGGCGTCCAAGTATTTTATCACTACCAGCTCCAAAACGGGGCTACGTCGGCTGCACCTCAATGGTCCTTGCCATGTCAAACATTACCACTGCTCCTCGGTGGATTTTGTGGACCAGGTCAACCTGGAGGACATCGATAGCGTTTGCCGGGACTGCAAGCATCGGCTGCGGCGCGAAGCTGGACAGGAGGCTGTCGAGGACTCTTCAAGCCAGTCGAGTGAGTCTAGCAGCTGACCGGCCGTCTGAGGTAGGTTTGTTGGGTTCAGTGGAAATTTTTCTCTTGATAGGGTGTCTTTTCAGGATTTCAAGACCCTTGTGTACAGTGCAACCTCAGAGCTTCCATGCAAATCAGTCAAGGCGCGTTGCACGTGTTTCCACCCTCAGATAGAGGCACCATTTCTATGATGCGCGCGCGCATCATGAAATTTGCAGTCAGCTGCGTCGCAAGTTGCGCGGTCGATTGCTCCAGGCTCAGATTGGTTGCGTGCTGTACATGTCTAGCTAATTGTGGATGCTTGGCTTGGAGTCTTGTTTGCATACCAAGAGCCTTGCTTTGCAGTTTTGAGCTAGAAACTTCAGATGTTGTGCTTGGTTAGTTGTGAAAGAGATACACATCAGAGCCATTGAACGCCCGCGGCGACAATTAGTGCCTTCACTTCAGCTTTCTCAGGGCCCAACCCAGTCAGAAGGGCGCAAGGCCCGTGTCAGAGGCGCGCAAAGCGCCTTTCAGATTCAGTCAGTGACCTGTCAGAGCATCCACGATGGCTGCCGCTCCTACGGAGGCGGAAATGCTGGCGCTGGTAGCAACAGCTGACTCAGATCTTCAATATGTCCTTCAGGAAGCAGCAGCCCCCCTCCGGGTGCAGTATCAGGTGGTTCGGGTGCATACCACCCGCAGGCGTTTCCAGGCGATCGCTGATACGAGGGCGGAAGCTCGCACTGCTGCTCGTGACTTCAACCTTGACCACAATTCCGCTGAAGGCCGTGCTCAGATCGCCTCGGTGGTTGCTGCTTGGGAGTTGGCCAAAGAGTTTTCGGCTAAGGAGGTGGAGCTGAAGGCGGAAGCAAAGGTCATGGGCCATAAGAAGGTTCTCCAAGTTCAGGAGCGACAGGCTATGCTTCGCGCAGTCACCACCGTGTATGGCAAGCTGAATGAGGCGGAGACGCCCAGTGCAGAGTATCTAGCATCCAAGGCCGAGGAGTGCGAGGAAAACGAGCCGACTGCTTCCTCGCTAGATCAGAGCAGCTCCAAGAAAGACAAACAGGTGGAGTCGCTGCAGTCCACTGTGGATTCCAGCGGTCATCTTCGGGTCACCAAGACGATACAGAAGCTGGAGATGCCGCACAATTCTGAGGCCTACCGTAGGGTCATGAAGGTCGAGGCCTACGCTTGGCTCTGCATGTCAGCCCGCTTCAAGGCCAAATCATGGCTACAGGGGCTGAAGCTCGAAACTTTCACCAAGTTCGTCTCGAGGACATCATGGGCGACAAGGTCTCTGGCTTGCGGTTACCGTCGCACCAGGGAAAGGATGCCCTCCCAGGGAGGCCCCCTTGGAGTGTCGTTCTGGCGTATGAGCAGAAGCTACGCACGGAGGCAATGAAATTAGTGGTGGACGATGCCATTACCCTCGCTGAGGCTCTCGAGCAGGTGGTGGCGGATCCATCTTTGAAAGAGACCTGGTTCACCACGCCTTTGGCCCTGCATGTCGCGGAGCAGCCCCGCAAGTACCGCAAGGGTGATGGAAAGGCACCGCCTCCTCCTTTAGTGCCCAAAGGCCCTGGTAAAGGCGGCAAGACACCTAAAGGCGGCGCCAAGAATCAATCCAAGCTGGGTGGTCTAGAGCTTGTTTCCACTACGCCCGATGGCAAGCAGATCTGTTACGCCTTCAACGCTCAAGGGTGCAAGAATAAGTCCTTCGCACGAGTTCACGTGTGCCGCGTGGCCGGCTGCTTCGGAGATCATGCAGCGCATCAGCATGAAGCCGTGATGCAAGCGCAAAGAGGGGGTTGAAGGGTTGGGGCCCCGGAGGGCGAGACTTCAGAATCAGCGGGTCACCCTGTACCGCTGACCGTAGTGTACGCTTTCGCGGGGCCCGAGCGCAGATGTGACATCGGTGCGTGTTTGAAGAAACTGATCCCAGATGTCCGCGTGATGGAGTTTGACATTTTGCGAGATCCCCGCCAGGACCTCACCCAAGATGCTGTGTGGCAGGACATTTTCCGTTTGGTGCAGCGGCCCAGTCTTCATCACCAGTCCACCTTGCAATACCTTTTCGCGTGCCCGTCATAAGACCCCTGGCCCTAAGCCCCTAAGGAGCTCTGTTTGGCCTCGCGGCCCGCTTCTAGTAATTGTGGCCTTTCCAGGACCATCCGGATCTTTTGTCCCATTGGGTTTGGCTGTCTTCGCCGGCTTCTTCTCTGGGCCTTCGAAGACCGCGAGGTTGTGCAGGCTGCGTGGCTCTGCTGGACGGGTTTTTCGTCCAGTCGTTGTGCTTGATGGTGAAATGAGCTTCTCGCTGTGGTCCCTGCTTGATGTGGTAGGAGACCTTTGCCGTCCCATTAACTCGCTTTGAGGTGAGGTCGTAGATGGTGGAGAAGGTAGCCGCGAATATGGTGTAGTCTTCAGCATCTTGGTCCGTGTGAATTTTGAAGCCTTCCTGAACCGCTGCCTTGATGATGGCGTGAAGCCCGCCTATCCAGCGGGTCGGTGAGTCCAGCTCTACCCAGTGTCCCTCGCGGAGGGTGGAAATTGTGACCGCTCCTGTAGGCCCGATGGTGACTTTGGCAGTCATAAGAACCTGCCATGTGAGCCCCGTTGCTGTCTGTGCTCGGTGCAGACTCTGCATGACTCTGGGAGGTTCACGCAAGATATCTAGTCTGCGTTGCCAGATTTTTGCCCATTCCCCTGCTGTCAAAAGGCCCATCACCTGAGGATTCGTGATGACCTGGACCTCGCTGGCCGTCTTGACCCATTCTTGGAAGCCCTGATCGCTGCATTGCCCTGCATGGTGAGTGGCCGCTGTGGTGGAGGAGGAGGCACTCCTGCTGATTCGTACGGCCGTTCTTGTTCAACTGGAGGAAAGACCTGAGGAAGCTCCGGTGGAGCAGTGGTCGGCAGAGCTTGGGGTTCTGGTGGTGGCATCGTTGCTGTACAAGGATGGTCAGGATATGCTGTGGCATCCCTTCCAGGCGGTGGTCCTGTTGGCTCGGGAGGACGTTGAGTGCCGGCGCTGCTGCTGGACGAGGCCGCTAGGGCAGTGCCCTCGGGTTTTGCCTGAACAGTGTTCTGGAAGACCTCTGGTGATTGATTTTCTGGAGTAGACGGAGTGAACTCTGCCTCCGTCTTGTGGTCCAGGGCTTCGCTGAATTTGATTGCCGAGTTGGCACGCCACCCCTGCCTGGCGAAATGCTGCTTGATGCCCGCGTCGTTGGAGAAGGAGATGTTGTTGCCGTGTTTGTTCTTGCAGAACGCACATTGGAGGTAGAGGGTGTCTGGGTTGATGCTGAGGCCGCGCGGGATCAGAGCCTGAACATCTCGCAGTTCAAGGGTGCCGTAGTATTGTGGAAAAGCCTCGATCTGTTGTAGGATCTTCTGGAGGAGGTTGGTCTCCATGGCCTCAGTGACATGGGCTGTGATCAGGGTCACCGTCGGCTTGTCCGCTGAGATTTCCTGGGTGGGCATTCCGGGCTCTGGTTGAAGATGGCGGGTACTGAAAAGCACTGCATTGGCTGCCGTCGGTATCTGGGACGATGCAGATACCGCGTCGCCCCGGACAGTGTCCGGGGTACGGGTTTGTTGACCCTCCTGCAGCGCAGTAGGCAAGTTGCGTAGAATGCCATTTTCCTGTGCCTGCTGGGTGCCCGGGTCGTTCTTCCATCCATGTCGCCATTGCCAGCATCTAGTCAAGGCCACCCTTTTCCCCGTCTTTGTTGTGAAGAAGTGCCCATCATTTCTGTATGGACCGTTCTGGCGGAGTTCTGTGCTCATCTCTTCTTGCAGAAGGTAGACTGTTTTGCGGCTAGCGTTGTAGAGTGAAGTTTCAGGGGCACAGATCTGAAACTCAAATCTATCCATCTGAATAAATAGAACATCCAAGAATAAGTGATCTCAAGAGACCCCTTTTTAAAATTCCAAATCCAAGGAATCCCCCGGGAAGAGAACCTCAGCCCGGCTCCCAACGCAATACCCCAGAGAAATCAAATCCCCAGAAACATCCAGAAACCTCCCACACCCCGAGGCGGTGAATCTCTACTGATCTCTCTTTTTCAACAAGTGGCGGATTTGTCTCAACCGGCGGGCTCGGTCATCGAACGCACGCTGTGTGCGCCAATGCCCCCCTATCCACCCTTGCGGTGGACGTCACCACGGCGTGCGCTCGTGTGGCCGTTTCTTCGACAGTGACTGAGACGCACCTTGCTGACTTGCGGAATGTCTGAGAGCATCAAACTGCGACTTCGTCTCCCAAAGCTTGCTGAGCAACTCAAGAGGAAGGTCACTGAATGAGCTGAAACATCTGAATTCGGGATTGAAGGAGCTGAATCTGGAGTTGGTGAGATCATCCGCAAGTTGATTTTCACCCCGCGGACGCCAGTTAAGAGCTAGCCTGATTTTAGATTGGGCGAGCAAATGTGACAGCTGCATGTTTATGAGCATGAGCGGCCACTTCGTTGTGCTTTGCTTCTTGGACAAAGACTCGTTGCCCTTGTTGTCAGTGACAGCACTAAAAGCGACTGGGAGCTGCCGTACCCTGGTGGATTCTCCCAAATGTCCGAACAAGTATAACGCAGCTAAAGTTGCCAAGAGCTCCGCAGATGCCGATGCCCACTGTGACTTCTGCTCCTCGTCGAACAAGTAGGGTGCCTCGTGCGGTCGCACCTTAATCGAGAACCACCGTGACCTGCACAAGGGACATGTTGCATCCCAGCCCCCAAGCACAACCAGGCCATCTTCGCATTTTGCATCGGTGAAGAAAAGAGGCTTGTCGCTTAGGTCCACCCTGGAAGGGGACACTTTGTAGTCTTTGGCTACGAGAGCTTCCTCGATGTAGAGAAGAGTCAAGATCACCGTGTCAGGAAGCTTCCCGACCGAGCATCGATGTGTGGCCGATGACCAGGCATAAAGGGGTGCCAAGTGCGGTTTCAACCAGTAAACCACCCTCGAAACGAACCCCAATCTACCTAAGAACTCGGCGAACTTCTTAGTCTGAACCACGTATTTCGATTCCCTGGCACTTTTAATCCACTGGACCAGCCAATCTCCTCGCACTTTGCTGAGCCCCACCAGTCGGGCCGCGTAGTCCAGCTCATAGCCAATGAAGGCGATCCTGGCTCCGCCTTTAAACTTTTTCCAGGCAAAAGGAGTTCCTGCCATAAGATAAAGTACCAGCCAGATCAGAGCGTTGACATACTTCCGGTGTCCGAAGAAATTGGCGTGTAAGTCGTCTACGAAAACCAGTTGAAAGAAGAAGTGGTTGAGCATGGCCCGCCCAACCATCCTACCTATAATGCCGAAAAGGCGGGCCCACCAGAATGAGGCAGATGAGATCCCAAACGTTCCAACTCGGTTCACGAAGACGGTGTCGCTCCCAGCCTCTGCACGGCATGCCAGGAGTCCCCAGTCTCTTTCGCGCACCAGAACCAAGCGGTGTGCGGCGGCCACGTCCCCCGCCAAAGCAAAGGGTGTCTCAAATTGCTCCTGAGATTGTCTGACTAGGAGGGCTAGCTCTCCAGGACCCGGAACTGAAAGAAGGTTGTGCTGAGGTATGGCCTGATTCACGTGTACTCCGTGGGTACCGTCATGAACCGGCCTCACGGATCCATCAGGTTTCTGGATTGCACCCATGGAGGCTATGCGTAGATTCTCCTCACCATAGCGCTGCTTCAACGCCCCATGCGTCGAAGCTTCCATCCGACCGAGCTCCACTTCCTCCCGGAATTTCTCTAGCAGCTGCTGCGAGTTCAAGGAAGCACTGGCGTAGTTGGAGCGGTCCCATTCCGGGAGATCCTCATCGAACTTCCTCCACTTCGCTTTAGGCTCGAAGACTTGGGGCAACCTGGGCAGCGCCTCGCCAAAACCTATGGGTAGAAGTTGTCCGTGCCCTCGGTTATGGAGGCCCAGTCGGGGTCGCCCATCACCTCTGCAGTCCGGGCCACCGCTTTCAAGAGAAAGGGCTGTCCTTTGGGAATCTCCATACAATGCTTCCAGTCATCTCCACCGACTCGCCGGCACCACTTTTCTCGCAGCTGCTGCATCTCCTCATCACAGAAAGGTGTCTCCGTGACTTCTCCAGTGGCCAGTTTTTCGCAAAGCTCTTTTGGAGAGCTGACATTTCGCCCCACGAACTCCATGCACATCTGGTACATATCTCGGCAGAGCGCCATGCTTGACGGAGAAAGAGTGGCCCCCCTATCCGCCGGTCGCCAGCGTGTAGGTGAGCACAAACCGAAAACGTCATTGAGTGGCTCCTGCTTGCCCTCCCACTCTGCTTGTAGTGGAAGTCCACGGTTCCCGCATAGCTCAGGCTTGAAGGCTGGTTCAGCTCCCGGTGGCGTGCTACCAGGGGGTGCTCCAAACTCTAGTTCAATGGCCTCCGAAGTCTCAGCTTCCTGCGCAGGCAACTGAAAGCCTTGCCGCTCCAAAACCTGCTTCTCACCGTCTTTCAGGGTGTCCAAGTGGTCAGTGACGTAAGCCACCACCACCAGGCGCTCGCCCTCCCACGCGCGGGTGAAGTGGAAAGCTTTGTAGGCATCGAAGATGACGGGCCTCTTTGCCACCTCCAGGTCTTTGCCAACCTTGAGACCATCAGGGGTCATCTCTGGCACCGATCCATGACAGTCCTCTACCCAGATCTGGCCCCCCTTGAAAGAGGTGATAGGTGCCACCATGTTCGGAAATGGAGCATTGCGTGAATCTCTGTGCATGGGCGTGCGTGTCCCATGGAAAAGAGACACAGCGGAGAAGCTAAGCTTTGGGCTGATCTGACGAACATACCGGGTAAGGACCTGTGATGTGCATGGCATACCCTCAGTGCAACGCCTTAAACCGACCAAGCCCCCTTTACAGTATGCCCCCACCGTGAATGAAGAGGCCGACTCCACTTCCTCCCCCACACGCACAGGACGCTCCTTGGGGAGAAGCTGATGTAGTGCTCTCAGCTCGTCTTTCGTCATCAGGCCCTCCTTGGCCAACAAACGAGCGGCGAAAGCCTCTGCGTCTTCGCTCGGAAGTGGTGTGATGGTCCCGGAAGACATGGACACTTGCCCCGCAGGTGGGTCGGGGAACTTCCTATCGAGGACCCAGAAGAAGCCCTAAACCCTGAGGCAGAGGGGGCCACGGCGTCCCGGCCCTGAGCTGTTGCTGCACGAAGGGACCTGGACCCAGAGGCGGCACTAAACCCTAAGTCTAAAGGGGTTAGAGTGTCCCTGCCCTGAGCTGTTGCTTCAGGGGGTGCAGGGGACGTGCACTTAGGGGAAGGCGTTAGAGCGTCCCTGCCCTGAGCTGTTGCTTCAGGGGGTGCAGGGGACGTGCACTTAGGGGAAGGTGTGATCAGCCCAGCTGTATCCAGCTAGGTGTGAACCCCGTCAGAGCCTGGGCTCTGCGAGCTGGCTATTGCCTGAGCCAGGAACTGACAAAGTTTCGGAGGGTAAGCTGCGGCGGCTGCTGTTCGCCACTGGTGGCTGACGGGATCCTTACCCACCAAGGAATCATGACGGCCATGTGGGCAGGACTTCGGTAAGGGACCGAAGTAGCGATGATGTGAATCCAGACAAGGCAGTGTAGCATGAGGTGGTGGATCACGCTGAAAGCGTGCGAGATTGCTCAAGAAACGAGTTGGCTTGCTTGTCTGAGCTCCAAACATGCACTGAAAAATTGCAAAGGTGACTGCTTTGAAACGCACTAACAGATCAAGAATCTCGGGCCAAGACCAGATTGAGGAAGGAACGACGCCATCGGCGGCAACCCCCAGATGCTCGGGGTGTTCCCACAGGAAAGCATTGCCCGCCTCCGCGGCTAGTTGTGAGGCTTTAAGACTTTGATCTATCATGTAGTTAGCTGCCTGTACTTCTGCAGCACACCTCCAATTCGCAAGGTTTGCACGGCAAGCCCCAGTTAAAGGACACTGT